GATATCTCAGGCTAAAGTCACCAGTTTCCCCACCATTCAACACTATCCAATAGTTAACACTAAAAAAAAAAAAGAATACTAATAGTATTCATCTCCCCTGCTTTCTAGGGGGAAAAGGATGGTAAGAAGAAAAAAAAAACAAACAAACAAAAACATTTCCTTCTTAATCAGCTACTTTCTCTCCTGTTGCCAAGTTTGCCAATCTAGAAAAAGAAAGATTGCCAAACAAAGTCCACACCTCCATTTACCTGGCAAATAAGAAAAGTCCATTTCAAATGAGGCATATCAATAATGGCATTGCACAAAATTGCACCTACATGATGCTTTCATATGATTCTATTCAATACTGTTACTATGCTCAAAGCTGGATCATTTACAAAAAATTATTCCTGTTGCTTCCCTTCATAATGATGAAACATGACTGTTTCTGTATTGAAATAAAATTTCTTCAAGTCTGTCTTGCCTTTGGAAAACAGCCTAAAAGTAAATTTAACAAGCACCCACAAGGTGTTATAGAGTCTACTACTGCCACCTAATGTTGTATTTGAAACCCTAAGCCCAGCATTACACGGTTTTCATAGTGTCTCAGCACAGTATAATTCTCTTCCTCTCCAAGACAGCTTTATATCAGCAGCTTATACCTCATGTTCTGTCACAACAAAGAACAACGTTGTATGGCCAGGAAATAAGACTGGCTAAGATTTCAAATTAGCAGAGAAGTTTACATTTAAATATTGGCTTATATAAAACCAGAGTTTCTTCAGCTTCACAACTAACTACAGAAGGCACACAATTTACCCGAGTTACACAGGAAAGAGTAGCAAATATCTCCTATCCAGTTAATCTGAGACGTAACACAGTTAATAAAAACTTCCCATTTACAAGGCACAGAGCTGTGTCTCTGTATACATTAAAACGGCTCTCTCAGCCGAAATAACAAACGTAAAAAAGCAAAATTCTTGCCCAAGTAGGAACAACACATCTGAAGCATCCTTACAGGGTTTCTCCTTCCCAACAGAAAAGGGGCGGGGGGGCAGTTTTCAAGGATGATTACGCTGTAATCAATGATGTTGTATTTACCCTAACTAATAACCTAGTATTTTCGCTCTGCTTGTAGGCATTTTTACATCAAATCAGTTCAGTAGCATAATTAGTTCAGTTCGTAGTGTGCAGTTGAAGCAGCAGTGCAATCAGAGCAATGCAAGGAAAAATTAGCTCTACACAATGTTTTTAAAACACAAGGGCAGGGGGATCAGCACTATGAATTTCAAATTTTATACATCTGAGGTTTTAATTGAGCTTTTCTAAAAGAAAAAGCTTTTAGAATTTTTTTTGAAAGTACATACCAAAAAAAAGAAATTCAACCTCTATCTTATAAATGCAACAATACCAGTTTTAAGCAAAATGATTAGCAAAGTTAAATTTTACCTTCCAAAAACAAACAAAAAAATACAAAAAAAAAATTTCTACATTTATTTTTTCAGTTTGGTATCCATTCAAAAAATTATCTCAGTACAAAGAGTTCAAATTAAAAACGAATACCATGCTTGAACTCAAAACAGTTACAGCATTCCATACCATCGTGCGCTGTGCTTCTGTCTTCCCTTCTGGAAATTCAACAACAGATTTCAAAAATTAAAGACACAGACAACTCCAATATTAGGAATTTTATCCTTCATCAAGAGGTGGGACAGGTAACAGAAAAAGAAAGATTGCCAAGAACGTGACACAAAACACAAGTACTAGAGGCCCAGGGAACGACTCTGTGACAGACTAAGCAGCGGATACACCCAGCAAACCTGCAGGCCATCAGATAATTTAGGAGAATAAAACAGGAGACAGTGGAAAACTGGCGCTCTACCAGCTTTTGTCCAAAGCATCACACTGAGCATAGAGGCCCTTTGCTCCCGAGGAGCTTTATTTAAAATTCCTGAAGAAACAAAGGACTACAAAGTTTACTTTTTGCAAATCAAACAATTTCAAGACAAAATTTCAACACACTCCAAATAGTGGCTAAAGGCACAGTTACAAAACCTGACAGTTTTCAGAGTTTGGCTTATATTATAGAGCTCAATACAGACCATATCTAAATCCAGCTGAAACTCCTATCTTTCCAGTATCCATATTAATAGCAGTAAATTGTGCTTTTGTTTTAATTAACTTTTTTTCAGTGTACCTTAACCTGTGATACCATTGAAGACATACAGGAAGGATACAATTCCAAGAGATGGTTTAATAATATGCAAATTTGTAGCTCCATACAGGAAATGAAATATCCTAAATCTTTACATCACATCAGATTCATATGTGCATTGAAAGCAAATAAATCATTTAAACCATGATACAGAGAACCTTTTTAAATTTGCATTTATCTACAGTAAATACTGTCATGTTCTTTAATAGCTTGCTAGTGCAATCTTAGCAAACTAATGATTTATGGTTTTGACATTTTAAAAATCAGAAATCTGTCATTTTATGACATCCAGTAGAAAGTCAGCTTGAGTTACATTATTCTGAATTTAAACTCAAATACATGAGACACACACAGCAAAGCACTGTACCATACTCTCCATTTAATTATCCCAGCACTTCCCTCCCCAGCTACACTTCTAAAAGTTATCTAACACTTTAATTTAAATTTACAAGAATATTAAAAATAGATTTTTTTTCAGGGTCCAGACACATGTAACATCATCAAGCACATAACTTTTTGTCAAGTCTGGAAATATCACCCATCAGCAAACAAAAACAATCCGCTGTACCCTGAGAGAAACAGACTAACCATACCTCAGTCACCTACACAGGTCTGCATCCTGCCCTATCTAACCCTTCTCCTCAAGGAAGTAGCCCAAAAGATAACATTTCTAATATCATATGAATCAACAACAAGCCAGAGTGGGGAAGAAACCATACAGTCAGGATGACTTTATAGAGAATGCCCTGCTTGCACCTACCTCCATCAGGCAGGACATTCACACTGTATGACACAGGTAGAAGCAAATTCATTCTGCTCATAGCCCACAGCAGAGGAAAAAAACAAAACAAAACAAAAAACAAAACACCACAAACCCACAACTACACAACACTGACACCACGTTTGAGGAAACAGAACTGCAAGTTCATAAATACTTAACAATAAGGGTCCACACAGAAGTTAGAAAGGCAGGTTAAAATGAACAAAGCAGATGGACTCCCACTGCCAGAGAACACAGTCTTCTCTCGCAGTAACTAGCAAAAGAAAAAATTTGGATACTCCTAAAAAACAAACTTACCTGAAAGTTTGTCCAGGCTTTGTCACTAAATTACTTTTTCTAACCTGTTTAGTATTCAGCCTCTGAAAAGCTTTTTTATTATTATTCTTCTTAATTACTTAAATGCAAAATATTACCAAAGATATCTTTTTTCCTTCAACCAACCTGGTGTGAAAAGACAGCAGTAATAATAATCCAGTAAGAAAGCATTTTAAGATACTTCCTTTAAACATTTAGTTTTACTAACGACTCAATCAATTATTGAAATCACAGGCATAGTAAACCCCTTCCAATCATAAAGAAGTACAGACAATTTCACAATTATTCTTATGTATACTACATATACTGAACAGGAAGACTTCTAAATATATATATATACACACACACACACCCCCCCACAACAGGTTACTAAGGTACAGTAATATATTCTATTTGACCTTCTGAAAACTGCAGCTTCCTAAGCTAAGAAACTAGAAAAAATGTAAAGTAAGTAATTCTCAAAAAGTCTCCCAGTGCGTCCGAAGTGAGGTACATGCATCTCAGGGGATGTACAAGACAGTCCTCTGGGGTGTGGAAAGAAAATATTTTTTGTATCATTACGCAATAAAATTTTAAAATTAAAAATCATATTTATTTTATCTTTATATCACCCTTTTTAATTTATATTTTTGTATAGTATATAATGTGCATAATATATTAATACAGTAGTAAACATATATAGTTTATAAATAAATAGTTATACATTTATTGGGGGTGCATCCTCAAAAGTTTTTTGCTGATGGGATATGCAATTAAAAAGGTTTGAAGACCACCTCCCTAGATGCTAAAAAACAGACCATATATCCTAATATTTTCCTACAGAAACAGTAGGTTTACATTGGATTTACATCCATGTACAGTGGATTGGGGGAGGGGGGAGGGGGGAAGGACTCTTTACAGAATCTGAAGTTTGCCTCCTGCATATATTACTACAAGCAATCCTTGACATAACTTTATAACTTTCAACTTAAATTTGAAAACTACTACCTAATACTTGCAAAGTACATGATTAAAAACCTGTGTAACAATGGAATTCTAGGAGTAAAACAAGGCTATGAGTTTATTCTAGAAGCGTGTTTGAAATCATTCTGCCAGATTGCAGAGACTAGGGGATGACAGGTACAAGCAAGGGAAGGGAGAAAGGCGAAAGGAACAGAAGAAATCACACAAGAGGAACAAAACAGAACATGTTCCAAACACGGAATTGTGGAAGAATAGCAAAGAATCACCTTGCAAGAGGAACAAAATGAAGCTCAAAAAGCCAAAAAAAACCCCAACCAAACAAAACAAAACCAAGATGAAGTGAGTAACCAGTTTACTTATAAAGCTCTGGCAAGTTTTATCAGATTTAGCAACCGTAACGTTAAGTATTTCCTCTACTACTGAAAGTGGCAGCCCTCAGACAGCACATGCTAGAAGCAAATGTGTGCCAGCTCCTCAACTGCCGGCACATTTCATAGCTCAGCAGATTAAAGGCAGAGAATTTCAGCACAACTAAATGCACTGGGTTACAAATTCCAACAGAAATCAAGAACCAGCACATCTGTTTCTGTCATTTCTGACACTGCCTCGATCCAGAACAGCTGGAAAACACGGCGCTTGCCTTCTCAGAATTGTCAGAGATTGCTGCCACAGCTAAAGCAGAGACGGTTCAGAGTTTGGATGTAAGAAATACTAAATGATACACTACAGGGAAAATAACACTCAGCTTTCCCTGTTGCCATTTTTCTAACTTTCTGTAGCTGTGATTAACAGGGGAGAATCATGCAGGTGATCCTGGCTGGAACAGAAGGGTGCCTAGAATAAAGAGAAGCCCTTTACTCTTACCAGTAAATGATTTTTTTTTTCTCCCACCTTCTAATTCCACCCCCCACCTCGCTTTGAATATGTCACTACATTCTTTAGAGTTTAAAAAAATACATTCCTGGAAGTCAGTGTATCAAGTGTATTGAAATAATAAGTATCTTAAAGGAGGAAAGCACAAGACTCAAGTGGTAATCAAAAGGATTAAGAGATTCACTTACCAAACAGCAAATCAGTAATACCTGACTGAGCTCAAGGACCCACCATCAGTACTGGTGCTCAAGTCCTCTTTGTGATCTAAGCCATGTCCACACAGAAGGCAGCTAACCAGCACATCCACACCGCTCATGGGGGCAAGAGCAAAGGCAGCGATCAAACCCACTATGATCACAACCATGTTCTGACAACCTCCATCCACCTGGGCTTTTGTAACAGCAAGACCTGCCATCGCTAAACTGATGTGTGGTGGGTTGACCCTGGCTGGATGCC